AAAATTAATTCACTGATACCAATGACAATTTCAAACATTAAAAATTATACATTGTCCACTAGGTAAAACAGTTTATCCAGTGACCTGCCCATACATACTACATCTTTGCCATGTACATATTTAAAGTTAATTTTTCAAAGAGTCATGATAAAAACATTTTATCCTTTAAAAAATCGAGCACTAGTCAAAATTAATGGCTATTCCAAATATTTGTCAAACTTTTTTGAGAGTATGTTGTAAATTATCTGAACACAAAAAATTCCACTTTTTGAAATAAAAAACACTACTCACAGCCACTTTTATTCATTACATTTTGATGATATCGCATAGCAGCAATTCCATAACATGTACTCAATATTTTGCAATGCCCACCAGCCCAACTCAGAATCTTTTTGAATCAAGATGTATACATCTTACTAATGAGTTTTTCGTTAGGTGGAGTCAACAGGGCAATTTGAACATGTTCTCTGAGTGTTAATTGTTTTGGCAAAGTAAAAGGTTTTTCTATTTCCACAAAAGAAATTTTAAATGGGAAAACATGTATCCCGAGTGATTGTGATACATAATGGTAATTGTTTAATTTTGTTTTGATGAAGGAATTTCTACACAAAAGTAAAAATAAATATTTGAAAGAAATCCCAACCTGCAATATTCCAGTTTCTCAAGAAACTTTGAACAAATGACTTAAACTATCTGAAATAATTCAAAGTAACATCAATTCTCAAATTTACAATTTAGATTTTGAACTTAGGAAAAATGAAGGTTGCTCCTAAATAAAACTGAGTCGTTGTAATGTATACATATTCTCTCATTTAAAATATCGAATTGTTAGTCGTATAAATTTCTTCTGAGCGGGTGCAGCTTTTGTTCAAATTTTACTATTTGTCTATATTTACCTTTCAATTAAAAGTTTTAATGAAATGGAAAAACATTGACTTTGTCACACATTCTTCTTTTAATAAATTTTTAAAAATATCACATTTTTGGCTATCATAATCAAATTTCAAGTACTAAATGTTTTTCACGTTTCTTTAAAAAACAACAAAAAACAACTAATCTATTAATAATGAATAATTTATGAAAGTTCTCAAATGATTTCATAACGACCCATAACACAAATCAGTGCTGTGAATGAATTTTCGGAACACATTGCAATTCTATTCTCTTTCTACACAATGCATGTGAGTAGTAAAGTTTTAAAAATTATTCATTCATCAAAGTCAATTAAACTGTAATTTTGCATGAGATAAACACTTTCCAATGGAAGATAAAAGCTGAAAATAGATTAAAATTGAATATTCAGAAAATCCAAACATATACAACATTAATCAACCAATTCAAAGTGTTCTAAAGTAATGGAGAAAGTCTGTGGAGCAGTGGTTTTTTAAATGTTGGAAATTCTTCCATTCTCCATGTTTAGTATAAATTTTCCAAGGTAATGCAATGTCTTTGTTGTATAGCCATTATTTCAAAGAGCAGTTCACATTATCAGTTCTATTCTCAAAGTTCATACCACCAGTAAAACACACTCCTAGAAGAGCTGTCCCAAAATGTAAATGACTAGACCTACAGTAATACACAATGACAGTATTGAAACTTACTTTGTAGGACAGGCTGCATAATTCTCATTTAGTGCATTGACAAACAAATATCATAATCTGTCCCTTCAGAGGAGTTTTCAAATTTTCAAGAAGCAAAACATTAAATATACAATTCTTTTGAGCAGTAGACTACACAAAGGCTAATAACACAAACTTACAAAGCAAACTTCAAAGCACTTTAATATATCATTCCAGTTAAAGAATTCAATAAAGAAATCTAGGATCTATAATATATTCTCTCTGACTTCAGTCAAAGTCTTTCAAAAGTTCCTATGACTTCAATCAAAAATTCAAATGATTTAATGGAAATACTATCTTTGATCAGCACTTAACTTGTGCATCAAACAGCAAAATAATCACCAGTGTATAATATCAAGCTGTGAAACTATAATTCTTATGATAAATAAGATGTACCAAAGATGAAATAATATTAACTCAACATATAATTATAAAATTAACTGAAGTAAATGTAACAATATAACATTCTCATGAAGAATACCTCAAAAGACAAAATTTTACAATAAATGCAAAATATCACTTCTTGAGCAATATACCACCCAAGAAAGATTACTAACAATGCTCAAATTACACTAATAGGATTATCTGTATGTCAAATTTATATTCTTTGACAATGTACTAGGCACTCATTCTATCATTAAAAGTATCAATTTAATTCAATAGAGTTCACTGAAATTGTCTGTAGAAACAGGCTACTTGTATATAAAGGCAGATTTACAATAATACACACCAGTACAGTGATTAGTCAGAGAGAAAAAACACCATTTGTAATTCTCCCTAAAACTGTTCTCCTCATAAAAAAAAAAAGTTCGAGACTGCATTTGTAACACTTTAAATTGTTTTGACTACAAAAATATAGTCCTATACAATATGAGGGCGTTCTATACTCATAAAATTAAAAACAAACCCTTCTGTATACATAGCACAAACACTATAAAAAGAAGTATACTGCTATGATCATGGACACTCACTACAAGAATTTCCATTCTATTAATAGGATCTTTTTATTTAATTCCTTTCATTAAGCTCACATCTTGAACTATTTGCTACACACACTGCATACACACACATTAAATACATTAACATTTTTAATAATGAAAATAAAGGAAGTGGCATCATTCAAGCTACTGAAGTCAGGTCAATCAATTTCTCAAGACAATGCAAACACCAAAAAGTAAGTAGGATGGTAATTCACACACAATAAATTTAAACTTGTCACTGAAATGCAGCTTCGTAATAGAGTAACCAACATACAATAGTTCCAATGAGAAAATTGCTCAAAGTATAAATTACTTCACCTGGGAATACATCTGGGTCTTCTAGTACAGAGAAAAATTGAATACTTACATTTCTCAGTTACTTAATATTTTCGAAGGTGATTATGAGCAATTTTAAGTCAGAAACTAATTTTGAATGGAAATTGTTCATTTGAGCTGTCCACTCAGGTGAAAAGCAGTTCATCATCCGCTTACATTATGTTTCTCAACCCCCAGGTCTTTGGCAATCTCTTCCACCAAAAAGTCTTTCTGTAATTTTCATGCTCAGAACATTTTCCATAGATTCCATTCTTTTTACTGATAACATTCCACAGAGATACAGCATTCTTTTGTTGTAATGTTTTAGTAATTGGTAACCAATTTAAATATAATTTTACATTTATCACCAATATAAAATGATATACGCCAATGTGTGTGAAAACTTGCAATTGTGAATGTTTTGTAATCAATGATTTTAATGAATGAACTTTTAAGGAAATGGGATATATATATATATATATGAATGTGTGAATGTTTTGTAATCAATGATTTTAATGAATGAACTTTTAAGGAAATTTTCATTCATTAAAATCATTGATTACAAAACATTCACAATTGCAAGTTATATATATATATATATATATATATATATATATATATATATATATATATATATATATCAATGCACACGTTGAAACAATTTGAGAGCAAGGATCCCCTTTTCAAGTCTGATCTGCTACCTCTCTACGTGCAGTATTTAATAACGCTACTGATGGATTCACATAATCAAGGGATAATCACATCAGCAAAATTATGTTGAAATAGCAAGTAAAACTAAAATCAATCTAGGGCTAACGGACTACACAGTATGTGCAATTAGTGAACATTAAGATGAAGCAATTAGCAACCAAGTTGGGTCATTTAATAAAATGAGATTTTGTCAGCAATGAATACAAGGAAATTGGACAAATTTCATTCACCTGAATTTCTAAGAAATTCCATTTTTTAACAACACTTTACAGTGACTTAACAGTATATGATGATAAAACATCATTGGTGAGTTTGACAGGGTCTATGAAAATAAGACTTAAAAACTTTAATCTTTCATTAATTCATAATTTTCAACCTTTTCATTTCAATACATATTCTATGAATTTGCTTAGTAATTAATATCAAAAGAACACGGAAATTAAAAACAATCATATTTAATAAACAGAATATTGATTTTATAGGAAACAATATTTCAAATAAATGGAGATAGTACACAACACTCCTTACTCAATATACAAAGGGGATGGGGAAATATAATGGTAACCCAAATTGAGTGTAAACTGAGACATAAATGCTCACTAATGTTTCACTCAGTTGTTTTCGCCAATTACAGTGGGTTTCTACAGATTGAATATAACAAGGTTCTATCATTTGTAGTCGTAAAACTGTACTCTTTGAAGTTTACCATTATTTTCATTACAAGCTTAAAAGAATACAAATTTGAAGGTTATCATTATATTCACCTATACCCTTCATTAACATCTCTTTCACCTTTCCAAATAAAAAACATTCCACTATGTACATAGAGAGCAAAATAAAAAGTCATATGGATTACCATAACAAGTGCGGGAGATATGAATTATTGTATTTCCTATATCCTTAATGCGGTTCATTTTCTACTAGTAATTGAAGTACAACTTAGACTTCCGAGTAACTTCAACTTGCCCATACTACTTGTGAAAATCAAAGAACTTTAATGAAAACTATTGTAACATATATATCACAAATGACATGAATATAAACGCAGAAGATCAGTAATTAGTATATGAACAATTTGAAAGTTAGTCAAGTCAGACTATCATTAAAATAATTCTAAGCATGAAAGGTTTCATTTAATACTGTTATTCATTGCTGCATTTACATAAATCTATGAGTACATAATGCCATTTGAGAGTAAGTACAATCTCAACTGAAATGAAAGGAAATGTACATTTTTACAGTGATATTACAATGGTTTTCAAAAGTATTTCATACTTTTTAGAATGCATTTTGTGGAAAAGTTTCTGAAATATTCTACTAAAATACATAAATTATACTTGACACCAACGTTACAAATACAAATATAGATGGTTTCTTACAAAAGAAATTTCGAAATGAGCAATCTTTAGTCAATAAGCCAAGTGCTAGCAGGTGAGCAGCAGAGTTTTTTACAAAACTGGCAATATCAGCCCTTTTCAAATCACATGCATAAATAGTTCAATGCCACAATAAGAAAATTCCATTCCATTTTAAATAAATTAAAAAAATAAATACATGACTGAGAGAGAACTTGTCCATATATACAAATAGAATACACATCAGAAACTGACTTTGTATAGTGCAAATGAGTATTGCTATATATTGTCACTATAAGTATAAAGATAACCTACAGATATCAGTTCACTTGCAAAGGATCATTAAAAAAATATCTGCATACACAACATACCACTCATTTGATATTTCAACAGTTTTACTTAGGAATCCTAGTTTATAACCACATATCATGAAAATATACCTTCCTTAGAGCCTCATTGTAGGTCCAATGTTTTGTACAGGAATCTTCAGAATTCAACAATACGATGAAATTTTTATGAAGATTATCTTGTATCTCATTACGTTACTGTAAATCCTGGGGACCGCTGCTGTAAATTTTCTCCATTATTCATAAGATCTTCATCAGCTAATAACAGGACATCAGCTTCTGAATCATCACGTTTATCCTTTTTTATTTTGCGATACCGTATCTTAACTCTTTGCAGAAGTCCAGGGTCAGTCTTATGATTTCTACTATTATGTCTCATTAAAAAGTTGTCTGTTACCCAGAACATAAGAGCCTGAAAAAACAGAAATTATTAATAAGAGATCTTGACAGTACTTCAAGTAAACAATAAAAACTTGTACTTACATTGACAAAGAATGGAATAATAAGCATGACTATAGCCAATTCAATTTTTGGGTTAGTTATCGGTGAAAGGATAAATTCTCTTACTTCATCCCAAAAATCAAGCTGAATAAGCAGTGTTATACATACTTTAACAATAACCATAAGCATTACATATAAACAACATTGGCTAAGCCATGCATTTATTGATGGAGGTTTACCTGAAACATGCAAAAAAAACAAAACAATTTCAGGTGAATTTTTCATTATGTGCCATAAAATTCACAATTCCTGATTCCACTTACCATACTCTCCAAAGTTGATAGCTTCCCATCTTTTCACCCTGGCTAAATACTGTGAAAATCGTATGCCCACATATATAATTGCAAGTCCCACAGAAGAATCCAATAAGAAATTAATGATATACCTATTGAGAAAAAGAAATTAAAAGTTATTAAAGAAAATGTACAAGGATAAGCAGATACAAGGTGGTGATTACAAGCCACACAGGTTTAGTGAGAATAATGAAATCGGTGTGAACCAAAGAAGAAATACTTTTGGGAAAAGGAAAGTGTCAAAAATAAAATATTTAAGAATTTCATTGACACAATCTGGCATACCAATTTCATTACTATTTTCAATCTTACCATGTACATGGATCGCCGTGAAATTTACTAGCCAAATAAACATTAGCTAGATGGATGACTAAAGCACCCATTCCTTGCTTGGACGTATCATAAAACCATATTAACCATGGGCGTCTCTCATACCGTGGCTCACAGAATCGTTTCACTGAAAAAAGGTAAGTTTCTTAAGTTTTCGGAAGACGTAATACCAAAAACTATCCAGGTCGGGGGTTGGTCTGAACTATCCAGTACTAATCTATTACAACTTACATATCAAACAGGTAAACGCCAAACACGCCAATAACACCTGCAAAAACCATCCGAACATATCCGTAAGAGCATCTTTGTCACAATGAGGATCATCTTCCGTTTCTATTTTTGTTTCATTCATTGGTAATTTTCATTTACTAAATCTCTCACTTCATACACTCAACCCTGATGCATACACATTCGCGAAAGTGCTCACTACACTCATGACTAATACTCGTAGTGAAACGCTTGACGGGTCAAGAAGTTCATACTGAATCCCCTTCTGAATAACGTTGTGCATAATATAGTGACATACACAACAATTACGCTTGTCTTCAGAAATTTAGCAATTGAATTAACATCATATTTCGAACAAGTGTGTTCTTTTCAAAACGCATTTTAGTGACTGTCTTGACATCGGCACGTACAGGCAGTGTCAAAAGTACTGTTCATTGAACAGTGTTCAATGTAACATGAGTATTTTTTCTTCTTTGCTCATTTACAATAAAAGTATAGTATTCAAGAATATATTAGAAACCTGCCAAACATTTCATAAAAATCCACGTCAACTCAAATAAAGCTCAGATATGATTAAATTTTCATTGAAAATGGTTCTACACAAAGCAAATGCTACAAAAAAATTCACAGAGAAAATATTGAACTTTTCTGTTCATAGAACCTTTTTTCTAGTTTAATTGATCATTAACGAGTTCAGACGCACAAATTAACATTTTCATTTAAGATCAAAAGAAACCACACAATTATCTGGACAAAATACAAAATAAAACACTGTGTGAAAAAACGTAAGAATTTTAGCTATCCTGTAATTGGTATAACTTTTTTATGGCAATGTTCAGATCACGTGACTTCTATAAAGTGTTTCTTATCAGACCGTCATGTCTGCGCCTGCTGTGCGCAGCAAGTGGCGAGCAAGAAGCACTATCGTTTGGTCATGCTTAATGCAAATCATGTTATTTTATTTAGAAAACTTCACTGCCCAGGTACATATTGCAATAATGAAACACATACATTCGTATTCAAAACAATACTCGCAGATGGTAGCAGACTGGCTGCCGCGAAGCACACGCCGTATCAGACTTCCAGAACGACCAACTTTACACAAAGAACTCATAAAATGTAGGTTTTGAATCAACAATCCTAAAATCAAATGAAAATAAATTCTCCAAATATAAACAATGCATTGAATGAAGTTGTTTACTTTCAGTAACATGCGAAATTCATAAAATTTGATTGCAGCTGGAGTCAGACGAAGACAGAATATTGGTATTCCCCTCGATCTGCCTCGGACACCGCGCAGAGCACGGTGACAAGATCCCCCATCCACTTGGTTGGGCCACCATAGGCACTATGTTGACGCTGGTTACGCGTAGGGCCGAATAGTTCATGCAGTATTACAGCCAGAGATGGGCAAAAATCTTGAAAAAAGTATTTCAAATACAAAGTACATCGTCGAAAGTATTTTAGATACCAAATACAAAATACTTCAATTAAAATTATTCGAGATAAAAAATTTGCATTTTAAAGGACTGTTGAAAGTACAAAATACAACCAATCAATGACGGCATGTAGGATAGTGCCAGTGCGCAATGGTACCATCAACAAAAAGGAAAGAAATGAAAATTTTCATCACAAATGTGTATAAAGTATCGTTTCTTCAAAAATATTATTCTTTATAGTTGTTGGGGCTGCGAAGTATAGCTTGAGTTTTTTGGGAGAGCTTTTTGAAATATCAGAAACTGCAGAAGAAACAGCTACATATCTTTTTGATTCTTTGCAAGGGAAGTTTCCCAAAACGACAGATAATGAAGACGGTTAGCACCTTAGACAGTTAGAAGGTTGGGATCATTATGTATCGAAAAAATTGTCAGAATTACCTTTGTCAGGGTGAACGAAAAGCATTTCTATATAGCATGTAATTGTCGTGTGTAATGCAATTCGCACGGGGATCGCATGAAAACACGTTTTGGAAATGTAATACCAACTTTACGTAATAATACAACATTCAGTGCAAAAAACACGCGCGTATTATTTAGCATCTACAGTGGAGAGGCGATTGGTTGTGAAATGCTGGGCTGCTCTGATTTTTCAACACTATGATTCTGCCGCGTCTTAAATGGAAAATGCTTTATTCTCAGAACCTGTCAACAAAGCAAAAAGTTTCCTGCGCGGCGCGTGGGAGGTGACGCGACCTTCCGCTCATCTTTGAGAGCAGTTCAAAGTGCGTGTCATCTAAGAGTTTCATTCGAAAAAATGAACTCTTCCTCTTTGTGAGAGAGAGTTCTCGGTTTATCTCGAAGGCGCGACGTTTGAAATGTATGTTCTTCGCCCTTAAAAATCCTTAAAAGTCCAAAAAATCGCCAAAACGATTGAATTTCTAGTATGGCGCCAAATTTGAATTTAGCCTTGGAAGTGATTATTTCAACGAGGGTTTAGTCTTTCGATGATCAATCCATACTCCCTTAATACGCCCAGGACGCAGTGCTGTCTGTCGGCCTCTCTCTCAACCGCTGAGTTCGATGGCACAGTTTCTGGCAAATTAACAATGTGTTGGTTTATATGCTCTTTTGGATGAGGTGTCAAAACGAAACTGGCTCTGCGGATCACGTTTCACTCCAGAGAAAGCGCTAAGAGAACTGTCTTCATCCAACCAATTCTTTATCGTTTAGCGTTGTACAGGTATTTCGGACGACATTCATTATATTAAGCACATGAAGTGGCGGCGAACAATGTGGAGGTATAGACTCCCACCTCCCCATTTCTTCCGTGTTCTTCTTAACACAACTCACAAAGTTGTAGGATCTCAAACTTTCAGGCAGGGCAGTTATTATTTGTTACTATTATTTTTATTTGTTATCAGTTTAAAATTAAATAGAAAATTTAAAAAAACTGACAAGATAATATTTGTGGTACATGCATTAGTTTTTAGAGATAACTAAACTACTTAAAAAAAACAAATAATTACAAAAAAGGTTTCTGAGAGACGATATAATTTTCAACATTATTTATTGGTGATATTGTAGCAAGAACTGGCACTAACCACAGAATTCTATACTAAATGGCACTGCATAGTACTTCAGTGTCAAAATTTATTCTACATTCTAGTGAAATCTCTTCGTTAGGAGAGCTTGCAATAGTGTCAAATAAAATCAGGGCAATTCTAAAAAGGGCAAGTGCAAATAAATTTTCATATCTCTTTTGAAACGTCAGGAAAGTTGAGTTTCGTTATGAATGAGTATCTACTTGATTAAGCGCCCAACTGGGGGGCTGACGTTCTCGATTAAAGACAGTGAATTGGAACCAGCCTATTCGAAAAAACATTTGGAGGTTGCAAAACTTGTTTTTTAGCTCAGCAAATGCTGTAGTCTGTACAATTATTGCAGGAAAAAGTACTGTTCAGGGTATCTACAAACTAAAGAGAAGAAACTACATGTTAGTCTTGGGTCGATTAATTGTGAGAGTAAGTACAAGTTGTAAGTCCGTTCGTCCGCCCGCCGTCGCCGTGCCGTCGCCGTCCGTCCTCGTCGTCGTTGCGTCGTGCTGTGGTCGTCGTGTGGTCATCCAAAATAGCTGAAAAATATCCATGA